GCTTCCACACGTGCACCTGCCCCGCCCTCAAACACACAGAAAAATTAAGCAGCTGCCCCAAAACTGATTTTCATCTTTTAATCAATTGAGTATGTGGAAATTTCATGTACTTGGACTCTTTTGTGATTTCTCTTCTTCCCAATCACAAAGTTGCCACCACAAATTTCTCTTCCCAAAATTATTTATAAAATTAGGTTACTGAAGTAAAGAAATTATATATATTCATAGACTGATTTTTTTTTATTAATATGAAGATAAAATATATAAAAAAATGAAAAAGAATTTGAAATAAATCTCTCGTTGAAATAGTTTCTAGGAATTTTGTGCAGTTGAGCTTCTCTTGTGTGTAATTCAATTTTTTTTTTATGTGTAAATTAGTCTTTTATGTTCAGTTATGTTTTGTGCAAATCATATTCTCTTATACAAACTTAATTCTTCTTTTGTGTAACTTATTTTCTCTTATATAGTCTATTATTCTAGGAAATATTTACTACTTAATTTTTTTAATACCAATTTTTTTTCCTGAAAACATATAGAGCAAAATTATTTGCAATTTTTAAAATATTGTAGATTATCTTAAACTCCATGCAACTATACATGACCCGATCTGGTTATATTTCTTACATCAAATTCAAACTATTGTTTTTGTTTTATAATATTTTTCAATTAACTCTATGACTAATTCCAAATTAAATAGTGTGTTTATTTTCCTTGAGTTAGCACACGTTTCAAGGCAAGTAAACTGAAAAACATGCGTCTTGCTGCTTCCCACAAACACATGTTTAGTTTGAGGAGCCTCTAATAACGCCATTGTTTTTGAGTTATTTTGAGGCTTATATGATAGATAATGTTTTATTACTAGTTAAACACAAATTCAAAAATTCATATATATGTGTTTGCGCGCGCAGATATTTCCTAAGAAATGGACATTCTTCAGGCTGTCACTGCCATATTATGCAAAAGTTGTGGACAAGACTAGGATTGTCTGGTTCGCGGAATCCAATGGACAACAGTAAGACAACAAAAAAAAAAAGGAGGAGAAAAGACCAAAACCGTTGAGGACGAGGGATGAGAGTGAAAACGATTGAAAGGGAAAAGAAAGTTGGTGCTGTGAATTATATACCTCAAACCCAGAAAGCCAACACGTAGTCTGTGGTGGTAAAAGAAGGGAAATCACAGTACCACCACCGGAACTAGTTGCGGTGGTCATCATTTTAATGGGCACTATAAAGCTCATCAAATATGAATTATTTATATCTTATTTGGATAGTTCATATTTGATTTCTCTAATTAATTATTCTTAAATAGAAAAAGTTATTTTTTGAAAGAATGATAGTTAAGAGATTATCATCATTTTAGATTATATACACATTAAAATAATTATTTTGAATAAATAAAAATAAAAAAGAAATCAAATCTGGACTATCCAAATAAAATATAGATGGTCCAGATTTGATAAGCTTATAATGCTCATCAAAATGATGAGCATCGAAACTGGTATTGTTATAAAAATTAGATTAAAAAATTTAGTTTTATGGATAACACATCAATTTACTTCATGTCACAATTTATAATTTTTTTTTAAAAAATACTCCTATTAGTTGTACATAACAACATGGTCTCGATTAAGATATAGTTACAAAATGCATATAATTAAAAGGAATATTTTAAGAAAACTAATATATATTTATTAAATAACAAATTCAACTAATTTTATCACTAATTAGTTATTTAATTTTTATATTAAAGAGTAGAGGGAGTATTAATTACTATGCCATATGAGGCTGGCTGGTATATATGGTGAGATAGGGTATGGATATAGTCACAAAATTTAAATATACATGCGTACATATGATGCTAGATTATTTCTTAATATATGTGCTAGATTTTCATACGTATTGCTTACATGTAGTAATATATAATAACAACAAAATAAATAATTATAAGAAACTTATGTTGACAGAAATAATGAGAATGGGAGCTAAGGGGCACCCAATGTCCAATTGAAAAGAGCGACAAAGGCGGTATGATGAGACATAATGCTTGAGAGCCAGGCTCAAGTAGCTTAGCTTAGCCATCACAAGAATTTTCTTTTTAAGGAGCAACACTCCCCACACCAAACTTAATTTGGACGGCTTGGTATTCTTCATTTCTGTCCACCTACATTGCTCACAAAGTTATTACATGTACTCCTTCGATTATAAATATAAAATTTATTTTGTAGTGCAAATCATGTTATAAAATAAGGTTTATATTTAGAACCTCAGAATAATTATATTTCCCCTAAAATATAGAAATCTTCCTTCTCTTTAAGACCTGCCAATATTAAATCACTTACAAGAACGGTTTGTGTAAATTGAAATAAAATTATTTTTAAATACTTACCTCTATTTTGTAAATTATAATTGAAAGCTAATTATGAAATTAGTCTTAACGTTAAATAAAAGACTTTAATTAATTCATTTTATTTATTATTTTTAAACTAATTTATCTAACTCTTAAATAGATATATAGTCTAATGTTACATAAAAATATTTTAGAAAAATCATGTCATATTTGTTGAAATTAACTAATTTTTTTAAATGTTTTTCAAATTATTAAATAACTCTTACATTAAAAATCCAAGAAAAAAATACAATCATTAATTTGTAAAATTTAAGAATATATCTATAAAGATGTAATTACATAAAATTCCATGTAATATATTAAAAAAGGAAATTCTGAACATAATAGGTTAACAAAATTTGAAAATTTGTAACTTTAGTAGGGTAAAAAGAAATTAAAGGTAATAAGATGGTGTAATGTTGAGAAAGAAAAAGAGGTTGGAGATGCGGACGAGAAAATAATAATAAAGCTGTCGTACAGGATGACTTGATGTCTTTTTAGATAAATGCCTCTCATGTGCTGCCTCTGCTATGTATATGAGCGAGCTCGTGCCTAGATTCCCATCCTCCTCATTTCTCATTTTAATATTTCTGAATCTCTCTCTCTCACTCACAAGTCACAGGCCACAGCTCTCTCTCTCTTCTTCTTCAGTTCCACATGTCACGCGGCATCACGTGACCACCCCCTTAATCCATATCACTATCACCACATTCACATTCAGGCACCCCCTATTGCGCTCCCACTTATATGCTATATATATATAATATACTCCTTGGGTTTTCTTTCTTTTATTGCTTTCCTTTGTATATATAAAAAAAAAACTCCTCTGATCTTTTTATAAATCATTTCTAACATGTTTTATACAGATCAAGAAAGACCTTAGACCTTATTAACTCTCATTTAAAATTTAACAAATTTTCAACTTTATTTCTATTTAATATATATTATACCTCATATAAACAAAATCAATACAATAATAAATAAAAGATAAAATTGTATATGCATACAAAAAATTTCTCTCACTACCCTATAAATAGGACCAAAAAATATATTTTCTCTCTATCTTATAAATAGGACCAGAGGAGTATTACTGCTAGTACTTATATTTTCATAGTTCTTAGTTTTTATTTCTATAATTTCATGATAATTTAGTTTGAGACTATTAGTTCCTATAGCTTTAGTGAGTATTGATTTTGCTTCCTATGTATTTAAATCCAGACAAAGTTGGCATGAAATTATAGGGACCAAAACTAAAATCTAATCAAATTATAAGGATTAATAATAATATTAACCCATGTATATACATTCTATGTTTATGTTCTTCCTCCTTATCTTGTTTATACATAATTCGTCTCGCACCATGACTTTCATAACATTTCATATGCGTGTGTGTGTGTGAGAGAGAGAGAGAGGGTTAAATTATTAAGAGATTCTGAGGACAAATAGACAGTGTCATAGATGGCATCATGGATATCAACTTATTTTGTCAAACCGCAGCAGGTTTCATTTACATTACTATATTATTATTAACCGCACTACTTAGCCTGTCGGTCATTTATTTTTAACGTTGGCTCAGATCCAGATTTAAATCCCTGGCAGTTTGTGTCCAATATTGTACCTTCTAAAATTCCAAGTCCACACACTAGCTAAGTCATATGTATTAGTTTTGTAGACAGATGATTATTTTCAGTGCTTTGATTATTTTCTGTGGTGCCATTTCTCGCAGCTTTTCAAAATATGAGAGTCTGTGATTTTGGGAAAGCGTTGCTCCCCAACTCTCTTTTCCTTCACCTAAGACCCAAAATTATTAAAAGGCTGAAGCTTATCTGTATCTGATTGTACCGCTTTAGTCCTCTCCCCAAATCCTGCCAACTCAAAATAGGGCCGGATTTATTATATGTCTGCATATAAATAGAAAATTGAAAAAACATTGCTGAAAAGTCCTTACTCAAAAAGATTTTTGTTTAAAAGGACTTGAATTGAGGAGTGTAACTCGTTTTTAGATATGTCTTTCACTATGTGCAAATATCTTTCATTTTACACATGGTTAAAAATAAATTACAAATAATTAAAGAAGAGTTACACCCCATGAATTGTATTTGGATTCTTAAAAAGGTACCTTATGCAATAAAATGTTCAATTGAGGGTTTTCAACCATTTTTTCAAATATAAAAATGATTATGAAACATGACTTATTTTTTAATACTAGTTTTTCCAAAAAAAATTTGATACATTATATATATGCTTATTTTCATGATAATAAATAATTAGAATAAAAAATATCCCTGCCATAATAATAGAAGAGGTTAAAGTGACGCATCAACGTACAGGCAAGCAATAGCTACGTATAAAAAAACATAGGATATAAATCCAACAAGGATTATGCTATAAGACTAATAAAGGTGATATAGACGCAACGTTCGTAGGCATCGTAGCAGACAAAATTCATTCCCTAGCCCACAATTTTTGTTGCAAATACGTCTCATACATTAATTAAGAAAAAATGTCAAAAGGAAAAAAAAAAACCAGATTTATGCAAGGCTACATCAAAAGATAAACGGTTCATATTAAAACTAGCGTTTGGAAAGAGAGCCACTCACCCACTCCACCCTTGTTCTGTTGCTGTTGCTCACTGTCAAATTAGAAAACAGTTATAATCCTTCCACCCACTCCTTTCTTCTTCAACATAAACAAATATGCTTACATTATATAATTTTATAAAACAAACCTATCTTAAATTCCATTTTCTCCTCCTGCACAAAAGCATCATGGCCTAGCTGGTTTCTTGGATCCGGAGACTTTGGGTCTTTATTTTTTTTTCGTTTTAAACTTGTGTATGTATACATACGACTCTTGGAAAAAACGAAGTAGCCCACAAGACATGATTTGGTTCCTTCTCGCTGTTCCTCCTCCCTAGGCTCAAACCTTTCTCTCTGTTCTTTCATTGGAGTTCGTGGCAGCATAGTTGGTGTAATGCCTGAAAATCCATGGACCCTCTTCTTCCTAGTAGCTGCACTTTTGCTTCATTCCCAATGTTCTTTTATTGTTTCTGCTGTTAACCCACAAGGGCAAGCTCTTCTTTCATGGAAGGCGTCCCTGAACAGGTCCTTGGAGGTGCTGAGTAATTGGGACCCAGTTGACAATACTCCATGTGGCTGGTTTGGAGTTAGCTGCAACTTCAAGAACGAGGTTGTGCAGTTAGATCTGAGGTATGTTGATCTGCTTGGAAGCCTTCCTTCTAATTTCACCTCGCTGAGTTCCTTGACTAAGCTTATCCTCATTGGAACGAACCTCACCGGTTCTATACCAAAAGAGATAGGCTTTCTTAGCAATCTCACCTACTTGGACTTGAGTGACAATGCCTTGACCGGTGAGATCCCAAGTGAGCTTTGCTTTTTGCCTGAGCTTCAAGAACTTCATCTGAACTCCAACCAGCTTGAAGGGTCTATTCCAATTGCAATTGGGAATCTCACGAAGTTGGAGTGGCTGATCTTATATGATAATCAGCTTAGTGGTGAAATTCCCCCAACGATTGGCAATCTGAAGAATCTGCAAGTGATTCGAGCTGGTGGAAACAAGAACCTTGAGGGTGCTTTGCCTCGAGAAATAGGAAACTGTTCCAAGTTGGTCATGTTGGGTTTAGCTGAAACAAGTATCTCAGGATTTCTTCCTCCAACTCTTGGCCTCCTCAAGAAGCTAAACACCATTGCAATTTACACTTCCCTCCTCTCTGGTCAGATTCCTCCTGAACTCGGTGACTGCACTGAACTTGAGAACATTTATTTGTACGAGAACTCCCTCACTGGATCATTACCTAGCAGATTGGGAAATCTTAGGAATCTCAAGAATCTTCTTTTGTGGCAGAACAATTTAGTTGGCACCATCCCATGGGAAATTGGAAATTGCTACCAGTTATCTGTCATTGACATCTCAATGAACTCGCTTACAGGAAGCATTCCCAAGAGTTTCGGGAATTTAACTGCTTTGGAAGAACTTCAACTTAGCGAAAACCAAATTTCAGGGGAGATTCCTGCAGAGCTGGGGAACTGCGAGCAACTCACTCACATCGAGCTGGATAACAATCAAATCACGGGGACGATACCTTCCGAATTTGGAAACCTCAGGAATCTGACGTTGTTATTCCTGTGGCATAACAAGCTCGAAGGAAGCATACCATCTTCACTTTCCAATTGCCAAAACCTTGAGGCTGTGGATCTGTCACAGAACTCACTGACGGGTCCCATACCGAAGGGGATATTCGAGCTCAAGAATCTCAACAAGCTTTTGCTACTATCTAATAATCTCTCCGGAAATATTCCATCTGAAATTGGAAATTGTTCGTCTTTGATTCGGTTCCGAGTGAGCAAAAATAAGATCACAGGGAGCATACCCCCACAGATTGGGAATCTGAGAAACTTGAACTTTTTGGATCTTGGATACAATCGGATTTCCGGAGTTATTCCGGAAGAGATGTCAGGCTGCAGGAATCTCACGTTTTTGGACCTACATTCCAATATGATCGCTGGGAGCTTGCCAGAGAGTCTGAGTGAGCTGGTCTCGCTTCAATTCATCGACTTCTCTGATAACATGGTCGAAGGTACACTGAGCCCGAGACTAGGATCACTTGGTTCACTCACAAAACTGGTTCTCGGAAAGAATCATATCTCGGGATCAATTCCGACTCAGCTCGGTTCCTGTTCGAAGCTTCAGTTGCTGGACCTTAGTAGCAACAATTTCTCCGGTAATATCCCCGGCAGTCTTGGTGATATTCCGGGGCTTGAAATTGCACTGAATCTGAGCTTGAATAAACTATCAGGCGAGATTCCTCAGGAGTTTTCAGCCTTGGTTAAGCTGGGGATCTTAGACATCTCCCACAACGAGCTCACCGGTAACCTCCACTATCTCGCGGACCTCCAAAATCTCGTCGTCCTCAATATCTCGTATAACAAATTCTCCGGGCGCATCCCGGACACGCCTTTCTTCGCAAAGCTTCCTCTAAGTATGCTCGCCGGCAACCCATCGCTCTGCCTCTCCGTAAACCGATGCGCGGAAGACGACTCCGGAAGCCGTTCGGGTAGGCGTGCGAAGACGGCGCGTATAGCCATGGTGGTTCTACTTTGCACCGCGTGTGTTCTGCTCTTGGCGGCGCTGTACGTCGTCGTCGCGGCAAAACAACGACAGAGGGGCCACGGTAACGATCTCGACCCTGACGGGAGGGATAGTGACATGGAGATGGGCCCACCATGGGAGGTGACAGTGTACCAGAAGCTCGACCTGTCAATTTCTGACGTGGCCAAGTGTCTCGCCGCTGGAAACGTCATCGGACGCGGCCGATCCGGGGTGGTTTACAGAGTGAACATGCCAGAGGGAATAGACATGGCCGTGAAGAGGATCCGGTCATCGGAGAAATTCTCAGCAGTGGCATTCTCGTCGGAGATAACAACATTAGCGAGAATACGACACCGTAATATCGTGAGGTTACTGGGCTGGGCGGCGAACCAGAAGACGAAGTTACTGTTTTATGATTACTTACCAAACGGTAATCTGGATACGCTATTACACGAGGGGTGCACAGGATTGATCGAGTGGGAGACACGGTTCAAGATAGCACTGGGCGTGGCGGAAGGCTTAGCTTATTTACACCATGACTGTGTGCCTGCTATCTTGCACCGGGACGTAAAAGCGCACAACATCTTGTTAGGAGACAGGTACGAGCCGTGTCTGGCAGATTTTGGTTTCGCCAGATTGGTACAGGACGACCCAGCTTCCTTCTCGGTGAATCCACAGTTCGCTGGTTCTTACGGCTACATTGCGCCGGGTAAGTAACTCTGTGTTCAGTTAACGTGGGCCCCAAAAAATTTTACCAGGAGGATAAATAGGGCAAATATTTTGATTATTTCTCATGCTACTCTTCTCGTCCTAAATATAAGACTCTTATATCTACTTTTAAATATAGGACTCTTATACACACTAGTATAGTCCTTGAGTGCAAAGGCAGAAGGGAATTTGACTGCAAGACGGTCTTATATTTAAGACTGGAGGAATATCTTTTTTTGTTTGTTTTTTTGGGGCTGAATTTCAGTTACAGGATTAGTATACTAGTACCTCCTATATTTAATATAAGATCTTATTTGATTTTTATTTTAGTTCTAAATATGAGAACCCAATCCATATTGTCCCTCATATTTATCTAATTTTTCTCAAAATAATTCTTATAATAATTATAGTTCTAGCCAATACACTTAAGTAGGAGGGATATTTTAGAAAAAATAACACCTATTTATTACAAATAATTAACTTAATTAGTTTTTTTAATCTCCTCAAATTAGTTAACTAACTCCTATATTAAAAATTGGATTTAGTATAAGTTAGTGAAATGATTTTGCGCTGGACGTAAAATTTTTGGTAATAAATCATGTGAAAATGGAAATTCCTGGCTTATTTTTCTTTTCACAAAAATGAGTTCGCAAGGTGCTTTGCCCATTTAAAATTTTTTATAATACTGGGGTAATTATCCTTAATCTTGAGGGACATGCAATAACGAAATTTTTTCGGGCTACTCTATAATTAAATAGTTAGCTTATCTGATTACAAAAACTTATAATAATATGGATACTCATCATCACACGGCCATCTTTAATGAACGCAGGGATTATATGGCCTTATAAGGTTGTTGTTTCATTATTGCCTTAAAAAGGTTTTTGGACTCATTCTGCGTACAACTCATCTACTTGGCACAAATTTGCATGCACACACGCAACAATTACTACCAAATGATCTTTCTCTTCACAAAAGCAAAAAGGGACGAGCAGACACAGCAGACATCCCTGGTCCCTTCCTTTATTCCGCTCTCATCTTTTGTTCCATTGTTCATTCAGCTTGGATATTTTCTCCTCCTTCATCTTTTTTATTTTTCTTTTTAACAAAAATAAGAGTAGCTTATAAATGAGAGTGCGTGTCTATATATATATATATATATAAATTCTTTTTTTTGGCCAAAAAATACGTAAATTCAATAAGTTGAGTTGGATTGGGATTGAATTTGTGTGCATTGTGTTGGCAGAGTATGGGTGCATGCTGAAGATAACAGAGAAGAGCGACGTGTATAGCTATGGAGTGGTACTACTAGAGATAATAACAGGGAAACGACCGGTGGATGCGTCGTTTGGTGAGGGGCTACATGTGATAGATTGGGTGAGAGATCATCTGAAGAGGAAGAAGGACCCTGTGGAGATTGTGGATCCAAAGCTTCAAGGCCACACAGACACACACATCCAAGAGATGCTTCAGGCACTGGGCATCTCCCTTCTCTGTACCAGCACTCGCCCCGACAACCGCCCCACCATGAAAGACGTCGCCGCTTTGCTCCGAGAAATCCGCCACGATCCTCCTCCCGCCGGCCACGACGCCCACAAGCCCAAGCTTTCCACCAACTCTTCTTCCTCCTCCTCCGTCACTCCCGCTCAGTTGTTGCTTCTTGATCATCCTTCCTCTCATTCTTCATCGCTTGCTTATTCGTCTTCTACGCTGCAAGGAAGGAGCGCGTGATAGAGCCTCAGTATTAGCGTGCTGAGGAGTTAGATAGTGATTAGTTGTCTGGGGTATTAATTAGTTGATAGTTAATAACGTTGAGGTAATTATGGAATTGTAAAGGTTAAGCAGGGGTGATTTGGGTATTGCGGTCGTTGATTTACTACAAGGTTAGCTAAATCACACGAGTGTACAGTAATTATGAGTTTAATTCAGTTTGTCCCCCGCAAATGCGACTACATGCCAAATTTCAGAGGCTGGAAGTCCTATTCCTTGAACTTTCATATAATACAGGTTGATACGCCTAAGAATTGGATTTCTTGTTTCTTATTTCTTTCTTTCTTTTGTTTTTGTTTTTTTCCCCAAGAAGGGAAACAACAATGAAAATTGATTAAATCCTTGGTCTTGTTGATGGCAAGTTTCCCCAGTAACAATGGTACTCATCACCTTTAAGCAGGGTCCTAAATTTGAACCTAGCATTAACACATATTTGTGTGCATATTTAAACAGATTGTAATTAAAAAAGAAGGTTAAATCCTTGGTCCCTCTACAAGAAACTTGCTAGGGCGTTAGTATCAAATTAACGTAGTCCAGTTCTCTGCTCCGCAGGCCTAGTGTATATATTGCTAATTAGAGAGAGAGAAGTGGGATGGGTGGGTTCACTTGTCACTTGCCCACATAGAGATATTTAAAATTTATAGTTTTTAGATAAAAAATTTAAAAAATAAAAACAAAATGAAATTTGATGATTTATATTTGATGCTCATCATTAAATGATGAGTTTCCTAAAGTCAATCTATCTTGTTACTGCATGAAACTTGAGGGGATGAAGTTTGGATGCCCATCGCGTAAAAACACACGACACCCAACAATGTTGCGGGGAGGCCCACGCCACGTTCCAGAGGAAGCAAGGGGCGGCAAATTCAGGTTTCTTCTTTCAAGAGACAGAGAACCACAATTCCGCTTCTAGCTGGCTTTGCTTTATTTGATTCAACATAACACGACCTCTTCATAATTTCTATCCCAAAAAAACATATAGTCTTTCTCTGCTTTCAATTTAATCCACTGTTTTGATGTCGCTGGCGTGTCAATATATGCAAAGCTAGGGCCCTCACCAATATATGTCATTCCATCACCACCATCTACAATTTGCACTTGAAGCAACACCAAAAATTAATATTTTCTGGTAACATGGTGATGCCTTTCATCTTCCATCTTTGTTCATCTCATTGCTCCATTTCCGTATTTTTCAAGACTTGCTGCATAAAATTTCTTCAAGTATTTCTTATCAGATTCTACAGTGATACGAAGGATTTTGATGGGGTCGTTTCTTAAAAATTGATAATGTCAAACTGATAGATCTGCATTTTAAGTAACCGACTTTAGCTTCAACCTCCACACAGGTCCACGTGTTTGGCACCCTATTCTTGCTTCTGCATGGCCTTGTTTGGTAGCACAAAAAGGGATGGACTTCTGTTAAAGAAAAAGGTCCCAATTTTCTTTCTCTTTCACTGGTTAAGCTAACACAATTTTCTATTAGCTGAGCTGCACCACGTCCAAGTAATTTGACCACTATTAATGATCTAGTTCTAGGGTGATGACTGATTCCGGAACAAATCAAGTTCATCATAGTTAATGGCTTAACCTGACGTCAACATAAAAAGATAAATCCAAGCTGTTCCAAATCCTCTCTACTAACCCAATGAGTTTAATTATCTCAGGAATATAGAATTGTGTCTATTAATTAACATAGAATTCTAGTTGAAGTCAAATAAGCATAAATAAAATCCCCTCTTTATTCATCCATGAAATGCGTGCATGTGTTTGTGTATATACATGAAAGAGCACGTACAAACAGGCATGCGGCACACAATGAGTGCTCCTTAGACATGAAACAGAAGCACCGTTCCTTAGTAAAACAGTAACTATCGTGATATGTGATACAAGTTTCGGTAAGTTTTAAACATCAAATGCATTCCCAGCTCACTCAATTTTAACTGTATAGATCATCATCGTCTCCCGCAGCAGCAGAAGAGAAAGGGTCCGCAGCTCCAGTTGAAGTGTTCTCAGTTCGATCTGCAAACCGAAATTCCGATCCAAATCCACGAGACTGCTGCAAGGTCTGAGCAAAGAGTTGGTACTTCCTGATATCAGCATCACTGACACTTCTGCGAGCAAACTTCATGGATTCCTCGAAATGTGCTGGCTTTATCTCAGCAACCTCATCAATTTCATCCTCATCCTCTTCCATAGCTTCAGGGTTCTCCCTCTTTCTCCTCTCCTTCTCAATGCCCTGTTGATGCCATGGGGTCCATCGCATTAAGAAACCAAACATACAACTCACCAGCTTTTAAGAAGAAATGAAGGGCTTGGAAATGAAAAAAGCATTTCCTATTATTAGAAAATAAAATAAAATACAGAGGGGCAGACGAAGATAAATGCAGTTAATTTTTCAGTGTCGTAATCCATAACTTGAATTTCATGGAACTTGAGAACAACATGGATTAGGCAAATCAGACAAAACTCAGCTTTTTTCAATTCAGAGTCTCCATATCATACCTTCTCGATATCTTCTCTGATAGCATATTTGCAGGCTCTCTGACAAATTTCTGTGATGTCTGCACCGCTGAATCCATGAGTAAACCGGGCAAGGGCGGTTAGGTCAACATCCTTTGAGACTGGCGACTTCCTCAAACATGCTTTGAAGATTTGAAGGCGTGAATCCTCATCTGGCAATGGGATATATATCAGTTGGTCCAGACGTCCGGGCCTGAGCAAAGCAGGGTCTATAATGTCAGGCCTATTTGTTGCCCCAATAATGAAAACTGTTTTCTTAGCTGACATTCCATCCATTTCTGTTAATAGTTGGTTCAAAACCCTATCTGCAGCACCTCCAGCATCTCCTGTGGAACTGCCACGCTGAAAGTCATAAACGCCTGAATCATTAGAAACTGACTACTAGTAATGCGTTGCCAGCAATCAATAATTTTAACCAAAAGTTGAGGCAGAAACAATAACTAGCCGGAAAACCCTCACAGGAGTATGTTTTCAACACACACAGAGCAAGACAGTGGATGAAGTTCAATGTAATCAAAGGCCTACTTCTTGTGAAGGAAATTTTAAGGTTGGTACCTGGGTTGCAATAGAGTCAAGTTCATCAAAGAAAAGAACACATGGAGCTGATTGTCGGGCTTTGTCAAATATTTCACGCACATTTGCCTCACTCTCACCAAACCACATTGTTAGCAGCTCAGGTCCTTTTACACTTATAAAGTTGGCCTGGCATTCATTAGCAATTGCTTTCGCAAGAAGTGTTTTACCACAGCCAGGAGGTCCGTAGAAGAGAACACCTTTTGAAGGTGACATGCCAAATTTCTCAAACTTCTCAGGGTGCTCCACTGGATATTGAACAGTCTACAAGAAGCAGGGGGGGGGGTCCAGTTAAATACTAGGCAAAAATTTACGTATAATAGAACATACTTAAGATGACATTAAAGCAAGTTCAAACCTCTTGAAGCTCCCTTTTAACATTCTCTAAACCCCCAATATCATCCCAGGAAACATTGGGAACCTCCACAACCTACATGACAACATCCCATGTTATGATTCAAAGAGAAATGATTAAATGAGCTTTTTTTTCAACAAATTGGAATGGTTGCATCAAGATTCATGGAAATAACACAATTCAAAAAGTTTATCAAGCTTGGACACTTCTTGGTTAAGACTAAGGAAGCCAGGCTTACTGTTTCACGCAAAGCTGACGGATTTGAAGCGCCTAAAGCAGTTTGGAAGTGATCATTTGTCACAGCCATGGAATTCAACACCTCAGCATCAATTGTTTCATCCTCCAAGTCAATGACATCCATTTTCTCCCGAATACACTGTAGTGCAGCCTCTGTGCAAAGAGCAGCAAGATCTGCACCGACATATCCATGTGTATCTCTAGCAACTTTTTCAAGATCAACCTGAAACACAATATATTAGAATCTAGAAGTACAGTCCATGTTGCCATCACAAAGGTAGTGATGATTAATGACTAGACAACAGAGTAAAATCTTACGTCATCTGCAAGTTTCATATTTTTAGTGTGAATCCTAAGAACCTCCAATCTTCCAACTTCATCTGGCACACCAATGTCAATCTCCCGATCAAATCTCCCAAATCTTCTCAAGGCAGGATCAACGCTGTTGGGTCTATTGGTGGCTCCTATAACAATAACATGTGACCGGGTCTTGAGGCCATCCATTAGAGTCAAAAGTTGTGAGACAATTCTCCTTTCCACTTCCCCATGTGTCTTTTCTCTCTTTGGAGCAATTGAATCTAATTCATCAATGAAAATTATAGAGGGGGAATTCTTTTCAGCTTCCTCAAATGCCTTCCTCAAGTTGCTTTCACTTTCACCGGCCAGCTTTGACATTATCTCAGGTCCATTAATCAAAAAGAAGAATGCTCCTGTTTCATTAGCTACTGCTTTAGCAATCAGAGTCTTTCCAGAACCAGGTGGTCCATAAAGCAAGATTCCTTTTGGAGGCTTAACACCGATGGATTTGAAGAGCTGTGGGTGTCTAAGAGGAAGCTCTACTAACTCACGGATTTGAGCCATTTGCTTCCTAACTCCACCTACATCATCATAGCCAACTTCATTTAATCTTTCTTCATCTTCACGTTTGATGGGTTCTCCTTCACAGAAGATTTCGGTGTCTGGTGCCACAACACAGTATTCACCAGGATCTGTCTCTATTACTTTGAATTCAACACTCCGCATCCCACCCCTTATAAGAAAGAGATCGCCTTTTCTCACAGGTCGGTAGGCCTCCAGAAAGTATGCTGTGGAACCAGAAGAACCGTCACTCTAGGCAAGTACAATTAAATTAAAGGAAATATGATGCCACTCAACAGAAAACTTACGCTTGAGATATGCATCAAACAAGTTGCCAGTAACACCCTCTATAGTATCATCTATTGGAAGAATGTGAACCCGCTTCCCATATTTCACATCAGCACATTGATTGACAGATACCACATCTCCAAGTCGTACTCTAAGATTAGCCCGCACAACTTTATTCATCCTAACTTTTGATTCTTCACATTGCTCATCAGTAAGAACAATGCAAACTGTGTCCCTTCGCTTCTTTCCCTGTGTAACCAAGATGATTTTTAGAATTATACTAGAATGCAAAATTGTATAGAAAGAGAATGCTGGGTACCTTTATTAGAACAGTGTCCCCTCGGAAAAACTGAAGCTTTTCCATTGTAGAAGGATGCAAAGTTACCACAGAATTGTCATCATTAATAGCCTCATCAACAACAAGACGGTTAGGTGCCTTCTTACGTTCTAAGATTGCAGTGGAATAATCCCTGTTACTTTTCCTACATCAAATGCGCACATTCTCAGCAGTGAGTTCTGTCTCCACTTTTACTTTTGGTGAGATCAAAAGACACCCAACAAATCCAATACATGTTAGTATAGATATATTTATTTTACGGTCATTTCTAATGTTTGTGCAATGCCTATCCACACTTCACAATGAAAACATTCATCAGAAACAGGAATAAATTCACTCAAATTCTAGAATTAATATATCCGACTATTTAATAGCTCCATCAAATTATATACGCATCTCAGGTTCAAAAATGTTTGAACTTTGAGATACAAGTGTCAAGATTCAACTACTGCGAGATCTATGTACATTTCAAGTTTCCCAATTAATTCAGAAGTAGGTGACAGGAGAAATATCAGAATATCTAAGCTGCAGGTCAAAGCAAATTATCACTCTTTTTTATCAACTTTATGAAAGGTCAGTTCCATCTCTCATCAGTCAGAAACTAAAGATGCGGTAGTCAAACAAAGTCACAGGGAAAAAGAAGAAGAAGAAGAAGAAGAAGAAAAATAGAAAGGAACTTAGTGGTCTTTAAACCGAAAGAAAAGCATAGAATCACCGAAGAACTAAAACGGACGTCATCGAATTATCAAGAATAAATAATTACACATAAAGGATAAAGCTTTGTCTTTCAGAATAGGCTCATGTTTTAACAAATTCCTCCATAAGACAATCCAAATACCCCTCCAGAAAGCAAGAACTATTAGACATGCGAGCAAGAGAAAGGGACAAAATTCGAGTTATATGAACAAAAAAGAGAGAGCTAAGCATACGAATCCGAAGAGGGGCCACTCTTTTTAGTGATAGATGATGCTGAGTCCGCCATGGCTTCTCAGAACTTGTACATGGGAAGCTCAGCTCAAAAACCGGGTAAAGAAAATCGAGTAGTTTGGGAATCAGAGGATGAGAAGTAAAACTTTGAGCATTAAGGCCAAAGCCAATGGGCAGTGTCCGAGTGTCCATGAAGGGTATGGAGAGCAGCCACGCAGCCAGTGAGTCGGTGTTGGGAACGATTCTCTCTCCATCTACCACCTCCTCTGTCTTAGTCTACATGCACTCGCGCAGGCAGCATCCACGCACCAAAGTCATACGTAGTAACGACAACGACGTGGATTCCCAAAGAAACCCACAGAGTTACCGGAATGACCTTCTTCTTTCTCTGTTTGGATCTTTTGGACCATACTATTGGGCTCACCAGTGATAGCCCGGCCCTGTATTCTCAACGATGAATTTTTCATTTTCTAAATATATTAAATTTCTAATTTCTCATATGGAAAAAAAATAATAATTTCAACAAAGTCACCAACAAAATTCGAATATATTTTAAACTTGTGAGAGCTATTTTTGCATTTATTTTCCTAGAAAAGATGACAGTTAATGAATCGTAAAAAGAAGAATTACACTCACGGTAGTTGGATAAGTACAAGAAATCTAATTCCCCTTCGCGTATGATGCAAGTCATCACCAATTTGCAAAAGCTGGTTTCCATTTGTTAAAAAGGAAAAAAAAACATTTTATAGGTATATATTGTTTTCTCACAATTTTCAATTTAGTGTATATGCATTTTTTTTTCTTTTAATTAGATACTCTAATTTTGCTCTATTAGCTGCCTTAGCCTCTTTAAATTTACTCTATTAGCTGTACAGGAGATACCAGTGCTAACATAACAAAATTAAAGCATTTAATTAAAAAACACACAGCTGTCAAATTAACAATTAATACTTCTCTAGTCCTTAATATAAGATCTAATTATTAAGATGATTTTGATTCTAAATATAAGACATATTTCTTATATTTATCAATTTTTTCTAAATCATTCTTATGGATACTCCCTCAACCATAATCTAGTAGAAGAGGGAGATGAGATATTAAAGAAGATAATTATGGTGTTTTAGAAAAAAAATGTCATATTTCTTATAATTAACTAACTTACCTAACTTTCTTAATCTAATCAAATTAGTTAAATAGGTTTTATATTAACGACCGGAGGAGTATAAAATATGAGTACCTACAAAATGGTTTTGCAAGAGTTAATTTAAACTCTGACCCAACACATGATATAATCATAATTCATAAAACAAGAAAGGATGAAGTGGTCATATACTATAGTGTGGGTGAATGGTCACTATTATTTGTACCAGACAATAGAAGTGTGGAAGGACTTGAATGGACCAATGTTCCCTCGATGAAAAGCAGAGACATGGCGGAGAAAACGATTGAGGCCATCATCAAGTGGTGTTGGTTTCACTGTATTTATTGAACCTGACTTTTCTTGCCAGCATGGGTTCACATTTTGGATTGGACCGACTGGAATGCAAGTCCATTTTATTCTTTTCCTCCTTATTTTTCAGGTCGTTGGATCGCATGTTCTGTTTCTGTGGCCAACTCTTTAGTATTTGTGTGCAGCAATATGCCCTCCTTTTATTGTTTACCCTTGCACTTTCGTCCCTGCCTGCATGTGATTCCATGTTTAGACAAAAATGTTCTCAACACATTAGTGTATTAAACCAAATCATTTTAAATTACTCCCTCCGCTTCTTATTATTAGAGCTAGATAGCTAACCTACAAAAATTAGAAAAATTAATAGTTAAAATATACATTTAGTCCTTTAACTCTGTACAATGTTTTAATTTCGTTCCTTAACTTTAAAAAGGATATATTTGGTCCTTAATTTAACCCTAAAATCATTAGGATTCGATAATCATTTTTTTATAACAATCATTGATGTTTTGAAAATTAAACTTAATATGTTAGCATTTAAGAATATTTTATCAACATTTAAAATTTTAATGTCATAATTTTTTTTTAAAAAATAGGGTTAAATGAGTAAAAATATACTTTTTAAAATTAAGAGACCAAATTAAAACCTTGTACAAAATTAAAGGATAAAAAATATACTTTAGCCAAAATTAGTTAAGTTAACTACTTGTTAAAAATGAATATTGGTTACTGACAGATATTAGTTTTTGTGGAAGAAATTTTGATTGCTTAAATATGAAATTTCGACTTTGTGTGACCTAGTTATGTAGCTAAATAAAAAGAAAGTGTATTAATTTTCTTATATAACATCCTCTTCAATTGGCACATATCAACATTGATTTAACTTTTCCTGAGAAGGACACAAATGCTCTCCGAGGGAAGTATTCATGTACTAGTAAAGCCACTTAAAGCCAGCTTTAAAACAAGGGGAATTGGAAGAGCCACAATCCTGTGCTTTTAAACATTACATACTAAGATTGCCTGAATTTGACAGGCTAAAGTCCACATTATAGTATACATATCTCTCACCAACCAAACTAAATCTTAATCTTCGTGGGTTTTGCTGAAAAAAATAGGAACAACACAGAACAACAAACCAAATGAAGATTTTTTTTTTGAATGGCAAAACAATGTATAACTATGACCCCAAAATTTCAAAAACATAAACAGTGATTTTTCCATCAAGGGCATTTGATATTCCTTCCAGGGCCTCCATAATAAAAGTAAGTGCCCCAAACTTTGTTTGTTCCCAATCTGATGTTATAGCAATTGGAATGATCAGCCAACTGATGAATGTTGGATAGAGGAAGCAAACTATTATCCCAATCCACCACTTGTAAGTTCCTGAAATATGCTGCTTTTCTGTAACCTTCTTCTGCAAAGTTACCACTTCCCATTTCAGTGCTTGTGTGGTAACCCTTTGAGCCTGAGTTCACTATTTCCCCACCAAATTGCACCATGCCTGCCTCCTTCCTCAGGTGACTGAATAGGTTCACCGGCCAGTACCCGACTAGCCCGGCCGACCCGATTTCCAGCCACCAGTGCCCATGTTTCGGATCCTAATGAAGTGAAGGGTGGAAAAAATAGAGAAGAATATTTCAGAGGTGATAATATAATGTTGATTAGATATGAAGTGTGAGGAAGAAGCAAGGGTAAGGTTTGGCTCAGTGGTTGCTTTCCATGGATGGAGGAGTCAGAAACAGCAAAATCAGGGGAAAAAAGAGGCAACCGTGAGCCGTGGCTTTAATAAAGGGAATAAAAAGTCATGCAGCAATAGTAGAGTCGACCCCATGAAGGGCGCCCGTACTGGTAAAGCCAGCGAATCTTTTAATTTAATAAAGAAAACTGACAACCAAAACGAATTATTGTTCCTCTTGGACACACTTTTCCTATTCCTTATACTTTTCTCGTCAAAGGAAGTTAAGAAGCAACAATGCAACATAAAACAATATACGCATACACAATACACACACACACACACGTACGCACACAATACAAAGTGTACCTATGCGTCACAGTATGAGACCAATGAACTGTACTGAGCCATGGGCGCAAACTCACCTTCCAAATCATTAAGCCAATATCAAACTGTCTTCCATTATATACAGATCTTGGGGATATTGCAGCTCCAATTGCTATCTTCTTGTTGGTTTGAACAAATCCTGAGCACAGCAAGTTGTAGCATCCTGTCACTTGATATGCATCCGTCTGTGTTTTTATAAACAAACAATTGGTCAAATTATGCTTTGATAAAAGGGAAAAACAAACTGCAGAATCTCGGTCCTTTCAAAAACTTACTGTCCAATAAGTGAAGAACCTTGGATTATTATCTCCGTATAGCCGTGGGCTCACCTGGAGAACACTAGTGCTTGCTATAATTACTCAGAAAGAGTATCTCGTTGACAAATAATGAAGTACTACCTCCAGTTCTAATTATAAGATCTCGTTTTTAATCTACAAACAAGGTCTTATAATTAAGAACCGAAGTAGTATTAACAATCGATAGAGTGATTATTGTCTATGAGGTAGATTTGAAGAGATATATAGAACAAATGAGTGTACATGCCTGCCAACCAGCTTCTATGGTATTTAGATCATTCCCAAAGGATCCAGCAATAACCCATATCTGTGACAAGCTAAATTCGTCTTGATTCGTCACTTGGGGTGCCCATACGTTTATACTTGCCTTTGCTCCATAATATTGATCTCCATTCACAAAAACCACTGCATGCTGCATTAGGATTTATATTCTGAATCATCCACCTGCTAATCTTCTATGTATTTCAGAACAAAATTATAGCAACTAAGACTTTCTTCGTGGGAATTAACTGAACTTAGCTCACTTGAATTCACTTGTTTTGATTAAGCAAAAAATAACCTGCATATGAAGTTGTAAAACACTAACCTCATGGCCACTGGCGGACGAATCTCTCCGTACACTCCTACCATGTTTTTTCCCAAATCTCTGAATGGAACTTGATCTCAGAATATCTTCCTCTCTTGTTCTCCTGATTGGAACGGTTCCTTCTGGGCATGACTCACCAGAATCTGACCACAGCTGAAAGCTTTCTAATTCTGTTTCTGCATTGTCGTGGCCTTTTGGCCTTTCTGGCGAATCCTACAAACCCAAATCTTCTTACTTTCCCCTAATCATATGCAGAAAAAGTCATTTTCTTCGGTATGAAAGTTTTCATAGAAATTACCAACAGTCTCTGTCTTAGTCCTTGAAGCTCAGGATGGTCAAAAGCTGGCTGCTGATGAAATAAAACACAGTCAATCAAATCCCCATCTGGGCTCTGCAACAAAATAACAAAATTCAAGTCACTTACGGAACCATTAATATCAAAGCTTCTTACAGAGCAGAAGAAAATGCCTCAATTGTCTTCAAAGAAGGCTTGTTGATCTTGCTTAAAAGAGCTCTGACTCTGAGAGTTTGGTTGAAGGGTAGGGGGTGAGACAAGACTGGGCTAATTGGAGAAACAAGAAAGAGGAAAGCAACAAAAAGGACAGGTAGAATAGGTGGAGTATTTTGGGAAGTAAGAGCAGCCAATCTCAGAGAATGATTCTGTGCTCTTGTTTGTCCTGTGACAACGTGTTGGTATTGTCTTCTTGTTTCAGCAGAAAATGACTCATTCTCGTGAATTGTACAGGAAGCTGAGTTTTTCTTCATGCCTATCCAAAACAAAAGGAAGAACGACCGCGGAGAACCCAAGCTTGACAAAAAATCTTCTAACTGGTTCAAAAAGTGAGAGAGAAATTCTAGTGGTGAAGGTTTTGTGCGTCCATGCGCTGAAAATTCAGGCACCAGAAGTCTGTTGACCCACACTTGGTGGGACTATACTCTTTTTTTTTTTTTTTTTAATTTCTTTCTTTTTCTCCTTCTCTTGCCCCTTGAAATTTAAGAAAAGATAGGTAGAGATCATTTAATCTAATTTCACTTTTCATTTTTTTTTTAACTGAGATGCTAATGCTATTGAATAGGCATGTTTATGAAAAATACCAAACATGCTCAGCATAACAGTACCGGGGGGAAAAAAGAGTATTATATTCGAGAGAATGGTGTAGAAAAAATAGATGAGTGAATTTGATAATGGAGGAAAGACTTTTGTATGAAAAACGTATAAAAAAATGTAGATAAATTGAGCTACAAATAATTAAAAATAATTAACAAACGTTTGAGTAATTTCATTATTACTTCGAGAATATTTGCATAAATATGGTTGCATTAATCACAGTTTACTCATACGTGTGGTCCTTGTATGTATCGGTAATACCCATACGTGGGATTATGTTGGCAATATTTTCTTTTGATTGATGATTTTTTTAAGAGAGAATTACTTATTAACTTTTAAAGGAAAAAATATAATTATCAAAAATTTCATTGACAAATGAGTAACAAAAACCTCAATTTTTATCTTAAACTTGTCAATAAATGATTTTCTTGTTCTTTTTGTCTTAAGACTTTATACTATTTTCTTGAATATCATGACCAGCAATTCGGCCAACTGAAAAAAGAGACCAACATAAGAGGAGAGTTTGGAAATCCCCTTAAAAACATTTAATTTTTTTTACATAAATCTAGATAAAATTAATTTAAATACTATGAAATCACCTCTAAAAAGTTAATCTAAACAGTTTAAAAAAAAATTCATCAAACAAGTTCATGCAAATCACATCTAATTTGATTGACGTCAAGAGGATCGGTGCATGATGTCAATGGTCAAATCCAGTCAACCGCCTCTGTTCTCCCGACTCCGACAATGGATCTATGCGTCCATATGTGCATTTATTACGGCCTTAACCACGAATCTCTTCAAAAATGTAACAAATTCAATTCTATATTAAGGGCTGAAACACTACTTTCGATGTTTAATATAAAAATTTATTTGAATTTTATTTTGATTTTAAATATAAGAATCTAATATATTTATTTTTTATATTTATATTTTTTTTTAAAATGATTTTTGTAATAATAATAATTCTAACCAATACACTTGATTAGTAAAGATATTTTAGAAAAGGTAATACGTATTTATTACAAATAACTGACTTAAATAATTTGTTTAATCTACTCAAATAAGTCAATTAGCTTTTATATTAATGATCGTGAGTAGTGATCTTACTGATCGTATCATTATTATTTTTAATGTGCGCGGCAGTGTAAAATATATTTACTTTATTTTCAGTTACCATGAGATAAAATTTTGGAGGGTACAGTGTTCATACTACACACACAAAAGGTAATTTACAAAATTTCAGTAGTAATGAATAATTTTTTCATAAAATAATCATAATTATCAATGAGTAAGAAATGAAAGAGACTTGACCGGCTTGCAACAACCAAATCAGTGTTACATTATATAATAATTACTCTCTCTCTCTCTCTCTCTCTGTGAATTGTGTTATCAAAAAGTTGTAAATTTCTTTTCAAAAGTACATGATTGTCATATAATTGAGGAAGGCAAATAACCAATGATTTAGAGAAAAGCCTAGGGCAGGGCAGCATGCATGTTGCGATTAAACGTTTAAAACCAAGTAATTAGAAAACAAATGATTCTGTGAATAGTGTCGGCCTTGCATTGCAGCTGTGAATCACTTTTGCTTGTGAGGTTGAGGCGCAGAATGGGCCCTCAGCCCTAACGCCGTTCCTTATCTTTAAAGGATGTCGCGCTCCCCTCCAATGCTGCCGCTTGCTTCCCACTCACACTTTGTCCCTTCCCTTCACGCCTCTTTTTCTAAATTTACGTTTTATTAAAAAAACTAGGACCTTTTATTTGTAATTTTTTAATAATGTTCTCTGTGTTTAATACTACTTTCAATCATTAATATAAGAGTGAGTTGACTAATTTAAATAAATTAAGAAAATTTGTTAAGTTAGTTATTTGTTATGAATAAATATTATCTTTCCTAAAATACCCTTACTAATCATGTATATAAACTATATCTACTACTAGTTTGACTTTTATTTTGATCCTAAATATAGGACCTCAATCCATTTTATTTCTGATAATTTATGCATTTTTTCTAATATAGTCCTTCTAACAATAGTAGCTCTAGTCAATACATTTGATTGGTAAGGATATTTTAGGAAAGACAACACATATTTATTACAAATAACTAACTTAACTTCTTTCCTTAATCTCCTCAAATTAATCAACTAGCTCTTATAATTAGAATCAGAGGTAGTATTTGATGGAATATTTAACATGTGTAATTACTACAAGAACTACTTTAAAAAAATAAATAAATATAAAAAACAAAATAAATTATAGTGTTATATTTAGAATCAAATTGAATACCAAATTAGCTCATTTGTAATTAAATTTATTTAATAATTATTGTCATAGTCTAAAAAAATATCGGTCAACAGTCAACAGACAGAGGTGCGAGTAAGCTAAAAAGGGGAGTGAGAGAGAAGAGATTCCTTCGCCTTGTGAAGAAGATACACTGAAGTAGCGATGCATGTGGGTGAGCCCTTTGAGCTACTTGAGCTGACAAGGGTGAGGCTGGTAATACTTCTCCGGTCTTTAATATAAGACCCATTTAACTAATTTGATTAATTAAGAAAATTAGATAAGTTAGTTAATTATAAGAAATATGACATGTTTTTCCTAAAATACCATAATCATCTTTCTTAATACCCCATCTCCCTCTTCTACTTGATTATGTTTGAGAGAGTATCCATAGGGGTAATTTAGAAAAACTTGATAAATATAATAAATGGATCTTATATTTAGGATCAAAACCAATTCAACAATTGGGTCCTATATTAAGGACCGGAGGAGTACTAAATATGAAATCAAGTTATATATTATCCGTCTATAAAAGAAAATTATTTTATCCTATTTTAATTTTATTTCAGTTCTGTCTCGGTTGAATATAGTATTTAAAATCTGTAAAAAATGTTGAAGATGATCATTTTCCTAATGTTGATATAAACTGGAACTTAAAGCCGGACAACTTCCAAGTCCTTATCGAGGGTAAAGTTCCGAGTGAAATGCACACAATCATAAGAGTGTGCGTGATGAAACAAAGCATAGAGTAATATATATATATATATACAAGTTCTGAATGAATTCGTCGTTTTCTAGTATAGTGATTTATAACAGCATAGATTGTGAAAGAGACTGATATGAGAGATATTATTCGAACGAAGTAAATTTTATCGAGGTTGCTCATTGTTCGTTGATCATTATACTCACAGCAAGGCCGTGTTGTTTTCCTCAAACAAAAATCCAGCTGCTTTGACTGTGTAGTAGTTGCACCGCATGGATATGCTTCATGTTGAAGCCAAATTAAAGAACATAAAGTGAGTTATTACTTTCTAAATAAGAATTAATTGATTAATTTGAGTAGATTAATACAGTTTGTTAAATTAGTTATTTATAATAAATACGTGTTGTCTTCCCTATAATAATACTCTTACTAATTATGTGTATTAGCTAAAATTACTATATGATGAAATCTTTAACATATGCAACTGCTACAAAGATTACTTTGAAAAAAATGAATAAACAGAAAGACAAAGTGAATTTAAGTATTATATTTAAGATTAAATTAAAAGTCAAACTAACTCTTGTATTAAATACCGGAGGTAGTATTAAGCAACCAACGCTAATGTGTCATATCAGTGTGTCGCAAAACATGAACACGCTTTTATAATTCTATAATGTTTATTTGTAGCCGTGAACGACAATCCAAATTACGGATCTGCAAATCTAGTCGCACCATTGGCTTCGTCCAAACAGGGAATCCATCAA